TGGAATTTTCTCTTACAGCTTGAGCCTAAGTGTGTCGCAGGATACCCTCTAGGTGATAGTTCTTGATTACTTTTTGATAAATAATTCATTCTTATTGCGAAATAGGAGCACTATTTATCAATCTGTAACAGAAGACGTGAGGAAATTCTGTCTTTTTTAAAGACAAAAATTTTTGAGGCAAAATACCCAAAAAGAAGTTTGTAAAAAAAAGAACGTATTTGCTTCGATTGCAAATCGATCGTATGACTTACATCCCTTGGACAAAGATCTTACCATTTTGCAATGACGCACAACTAGATGTTTACCAACTACCTCCATACGGTCGAAAACCACCCTGCACGGACACATTCAAGAACAAAACTGACCTCGAAGAGGTGCATCTATTCCGTCTTAACGCGCTTATGAGCACCAAGGCCACCAATTCAACCTCCCACCCGACTCCAGAGCTGCGGTGTCTATGACGAGGTGAAAATGTGCACCAATTTCCAATGGAGAGAGGGAGGTTTTTGAACAAATAGCAGTACCTGAGCAGGTGCGCTTCATCAGCGACCAATGAAGGAGTCGAACCGAATTTTGCTAGGAAAAAATGCAACTTACCGCACGGGTCCATTTGACTGATGGTTCCGGGTTTCCCACATAAGTGGCCTTAAGTAGCACCCTGTCGCCCACCAAGGCTGTAGTATCTTGAGGTCCTCGCACTATCCGCGCTGGTTCCTCCACTTTTACCAACTGGGCACCATCTGCAAAGTCTCTGGGCACTGCTCGTTCCTCCACAGGCTGCACAAACTCAACCACGGAACCGTGAGGGTTTCGATACACTGGCATGCCCAGATGGTTAACGTTTTGGTACTCCAGTACTTCTTCGCGGAGGGTGTCGGCAGTGGCGCTCATCGGCAATTGAGGTTCCTCACTGTCGGGTTCCGCCCCGATACCCATCGACACCACATCGACCAGGTTTCGATCGACGATTACGAGGTGTGCGGTACCGCTCCTGCAGAGTACCAGACCGTCGATTGACTGCGACTCGGCCACGCATCGGACTGTCGCCGAACTGCAGGTATCGAGTATGTGAAGAATTCCTGTGGTGATGACGTCCGACCCCTCGGACGTTTCTTCTTCCTCTACCTGGAAGACAGATAAAGAGATGTGCTGGTGAAATGGCTCGGGCGCTACAGAACAATGTAATGTAACTACGTTACAAGCACTGTATTCAGCCGACGCTGATTAGAAAACAGTGAACCAGTTAAGCGCAGAAAATCATCGAAATCGCGTTTACAGAAAAATCACTACCCTTTGCCCAGTCTGGCTCTGCAGTTTTTTAAGCGAAGTCAAAGTTGGGCCAATTAAACCTGCATTTCTGAAAAATTGCTCTTAAGTTGCTTCCAATTGAACTATTTTCTATTGCTATTTCATTGCTAAACCAACATTTTTCAAGTTCATAAATTAGCTTCTGGCTTTAACACGAAGCCCAACTACTTGTTCTCGAAGCTACTTTAAGGCCTAGTAAAGATCACATTATAAATTTCTTTTTATGCCTCTTCGGTGTCAAGAAACCATCATCAACATCTCCAAGCCTTTTAACAGACGCAGTAAAACGCCATGTTAATAGTGGCTTAATTTTGTGTTGCTTTTATTTTTGTTTGTCAGCTTTTTGGTCATTTTTTACTCGTATTCACTTCTGGCTCAATACGCACGTACCATTTACGGTTTTCAAAAAAATAGTCGCTAAAAACTGTATTTTGTCTAAATTTGCTTCTGTTTAGTAAATAATAATCACACCATTTTTTATTTTGTGGGATAAAAATAATTTTCACAAACAATTTCGCAAATGAAATCCTGCATAAACATTTTCTTTGTAACGTTCACGTTGTGGCACTGAATTTTTGATTGATATTTATGAAGATGGATGATTTTCACCAAGAAGACCCCTGCGTACAAAACAACAAGGAATAAAACGTGATCGAAAGCAATTCGGTAGTATTTAAAAGCACACACCGATATTTGTAGTCCTTAACTCAAAAACCCCGAAAGTTATTAGTTTATATTTTAATTAGTTTTTTAACCTATCGAAAACAATCACACACATTCTAAAAATAGGTTATTCAACTGGTATTTATTTTCCGCAAAAAACGTACAATTTACGGATTTTTTCGAGTTCTTAAGATGCATTGCAAATTCCATTTAAATTGAATTCATAAACTTTATTGTTACAATTTTTCCTTCCAATTCTGTTTCACTCAATTCAAAGCGTGAAAATAAGTAATTACGCTTCCTTAATATTTAAACCAAGTATTCAGTTTTTAATTATGAATTTAGTATTTAATTTATTTCCTCCAATCCTTGTTCGAACATTTTTATTTAACGATTTTTCATATTTTTTCTAGTACGAAAGGAGCTAAATATTTTAACAAAATCTGGTATGGGTACAGGAGTTTTTGAAAATTCGAAATTTAACATCATATTTTGAAACTTCCTATGAACATATTTAGAACGAACACAACTTTTTACATGATATTTGAACTCCAGATTAAGAGAAAAAAATCGTTTTTCAGTTGTTTGAACCGGAGAAAATTCCAAAATGCAATTTCCTATTGCCAGTTTTGTTCTTCTATCGCAGTTTAGTCCTTTCTTTCGTGAATTTTACGCCTGTGAAAGTTTTTATTCCAGGATGATCGACCCTCAGACGGCAATTTGCTAAGTTATAATACAAAATTTCTGTTGCCACCAAATCTTTATTTACTAGAATTTTGGGGAATGTTGAAAATCCTCTCAAGCCGTATGTTTCAACATCTAATCACTTTACTTTGCAGTATAGTTAAAACATTTAGCGAAAGAAAATTCCAAGAAATAATTTGCAATTAAAACAACAGTGGCTATTTAACGAACCATGAAACGTTGGGAAGAACATTTTCTAGGCAAAAGCAACAGACAGCTACAGAATATATTAATGAACCAATATAGATAGGGAGATGAAGATTCATTTCATGAAGAAATACTAAATCAATCAAATGCCAAATCAACCGCAATAAAACCAAAAATGATAGAGCATCAAATAAAACGAAAGAAAAGTAAATAATAGCAAAAAAATATAATTAAGTATGATAAAAAAATACGCTATCGCTAGACACTGATTCTATCGATGTATACACAACACAAAGAAATTTTACTGTAATAACTATAAGGATGTATCACTGATAAGAACAAGTATAAAAACGTAAGAAGATATGGAGAAAATATCGAACAAACGCTAAAATAATTGCAAAACGTATTCCATAAGTTCAATTAAAACATTTTCCTTAAAACAAATAACAAAATAAGAATCAAAGGAATAACATAAGTTTCTTCATGAGAAAACTCAACTTTCATGGAATTAGCCAGGTTTAGAGCAAAGATGTTATGTAGGACATTTCAGCTTACAGAAAGTACAGAGCTTTGTGTTGTTCAGTAATGTCAAAAAATTGAACTGAAAATTTCAGCGCCTAAAAGCAACGCTCGACGACAAGACAGAACAGAAAAACTGTATTTTGTAATAACTAGAAAAATAATCAGCAAACAGAGGTATTGAGAAAAACCAAATCAATTATTAGACCTTCACGAAAAAAAGATTCAAGCGGTGTGTAAATGAAATTCTTAAGAAGTATACGAGAGGTGAATAGTTTTTCTAGGAAAAAAGGCCTTCGTCCAATCGATCTTTCAGCGTATGTAATAACATAATTAGAGTGAACAAAAGAAAATGGTTGCCTTCTTCCTAAGAAACTAAGTCTTTCTATATCCATCTAATTATTTTTGTGATTTATGTGCGTTCGTATAGGAAGTCGTTGTACTTTGTCCTGCAAAATGTATTGTACTTATAGTGGATTTTTAGTGTTTTTTGTTTTTGGTGTCTTAGAAAGCTGCTCGTTTTTCTGTATGTAAGTAGTATTTAGATTTCTCGGATTTATTCACTTTTAGCATGTTTCCATACTCCAGCAGTGGGTTAAAGGTGGATTTGTAAGTGTTAAGATCCTCTTATAACTTCTGTAGGAATGTTTCGTAAATTTTAGTTTTTTGTCGTTTTCCTCTCTAATTATTTGGGTGATTTTTAATGAAATTTGTAGTTCCTTTCCATTTATCAAATCATGTCATTGACGCATCGCAATAGTTAATAATTTTGTTTTTCGCAGTGCAATGTTGTCCGCATATAAGTAGTAATATAAGTAGTATAGTAAGTAGTAAGTAGTATAGTAAGTACGATAGTTTTCTACGGAGAATTTTTATTGAGGATGAACAATTCAAAGCCGATGAAGCGACTATGCAAAGCAAAATACTCAAAAAAACATTGCAAAGAGATGGCAAGTTGGCTGGAGGCGAAATCAATAGCAAGAGATAGAAAAAAGTGGGAAAACAAGTGTGAATAGCTTTAGTACTGAAGACAAAACATCCAATATAATCGTAAAAGGAATTACTGATTATAAATAGCTAGAATATGTAACAACTAATCTTTCGAAAAAAAATTAACGAAATAATCAGAAACATATTACAAATCATATATTAGCTGCTCGAGTCGCCGCTAAGCAGAGTTGCCTATTAATGTCCAAAGAATTTCTATGAACAACAATAAAAACATGATTTACTCGGGTTCCTTATATGGGCACCACCCTATTATTGTTTACGATCGTTGCAGAGATTGCTACAAGAGATAAACAAGAGACTTTCCAGTCATAGACCTGAATAAATAGCACTTTGCGTTTCAATATCGCAGTTCTACAATGGCCAAGCCTTATGGTGCATGTATTTGTTTTATTGGGAACCCAAAACCGTACCCCTAAGGGTTCGATGATCTCGCGTTACCTTCGCAAATTAGACTCTCCTCAAATCAAAAATTACATCCTTGATAGGCTCGAGCACTAAATCAAATTAAAAATTGCCGGGTATAAAAACAAAATTTCTCTTTTCTTCCAAATAAGGCGTGAGGTAACATTGCTCGGTAATATTCCGACTTCACATACTATTGTCAAATTGTTGTATAATATCAGATTGAAAGCAGAACAGGATTTAACGGGTATTTAAACGTACCGGGAGGCTTTGATTTTTTATTGTTTTCAGATTRTACGTAGACACCGGCAGTATGCAGCGGTTGGTGTCTATACAGGGTGTTACACACGTATCGTTAATATYTAAGAAAAAWTATKCCCACCAAACGTTTCCTTTATCTCCTTCGCTTAGTTTTGCAGAAACGTGTGCGTAAAGCGCTAAAAAATACAACTGAAGGTTTTAAAATTGTGTTTAATGAATCGGGGCCAAAAGCGTTWATAGATCAACGGTTTATGCAAATGACCATTTAACATAATGGCAAAGCCTTGAAAATCTTAACAATAATTAAAAAAGCAGCACTMATTCTTTTAAAATCGATTTTAGTGTCTAATTTGTCTAAAAACATCACAAATTTTCCTMATAAACCGAACSCCTTTAGTGTTAAGAATTGTCYGCAGMGMTTTGCTTGTAGAATTCCTGTTASTGTACTTCAATTTTTATTTGAAGCTTAGAAGCTTTTCAGTGAGCCGTTTTTTGAAGATTTAAAAGCYGTATTCTGTTCRAAGGAATGTTCAGTTTGCCGTTGAGATYTTCTGCATAATTCCTCTTAAAGTTCCGATATATKGCCGAATTTCAATAAAATAAAATAATGMTATCATTAAAAGGCAAAAATTCATTCATATTCTGAATATTAAATACAGTTAAAACATTAAAAACATAATCTGTTTTGTGCGAGGCAGGATTATTTGTAGACTACAACCACAATAATTTCGGTCTGTTTTGAGCTTTAAATTGCAATGTTTGCGTCGTGGATCCGCTTGTTTTAAGAATTGTTGGCATCTTAAAAATGAATTTAAAATATCACCCATTTTGTATATTAAATATTGCAAAACGGTTTTTAAATAAATCAGCCAGTCACCCGAAAAAAGAGAAACCACATATTTTTCAAAACTTTTACGAAATAAATTGCCCACGATTTTTTTTATTAACCTTTCAATTAAAAATTGAATAGAAAAATACATAAAAATCGACTTTAAAACTATAAATAGACAACCAAGGTGAATTTAGCATCAGCTTACACCATGCACCAAAAAAGTAAATTTTTTGCTGCTAAATATGCAATATCCGATCTATGAAATGAAAAGGTTCTATCCTTAGAAAATGATGATTGTTTTGATTCTATTGAGGTTTCTGGCATTAATATTTAACATTGTATATACATACTTTCCTGACTGTGTTTCAATTCCAAATCAAATCTATTCTTGCGTTTCAGTCATTTATTGTCTCTATTTATTAATGAAAATACGTTTCAAATTCAAAAAATCAAAATTATGCAACCTGATTTTGATAACACACAAATACCGATTAACGAGAGTAATTATAATAAATGAAGAGTCCATGAAATCATACAGATTAAAAAACATAACAATGCTATGAATTTCAGATCGAATACCGACAATCTTAGCTCAGTATATCATACATTAATTAAATGAAATAAACATAAAATATTAACTAACACCCGGTATATTGAAGAATTTTGCAAACCAAAAATAATATCCTCAGAATGCAAAGAAAAATAGCTGAAAGTAAATGAAATCAATATAAACAGTATTTTATTCGTTTTGAATCCGATAATGGACAAAATTAATACTACAAATGCATGCCAAGGTTTAAAGCAGCAACAACGCTACATATGTAAGTAAAAATAATTAAATATCAGAACAAAGAATTCTAGTCTCTTCCCAAATTTGATTGTCCTGACTAATCACCTGTTAGGCCTAATTAATTTTAGAATGTTTTAAAGTATTGCAATTGTGATGTATTTTAATATTGATATGATGAGGCTGTTGACGAACTGTGGTTGTTTTTTTAAATTACTGAAACATTTTTTTAACTATCTGTTATTTTAGAAAAACTGATTATGGTGGAAAAATACACCGAAACGTATTTTGATTAATAAATAGAGACAATAAATGACTGAAACCCAGGAATAGATTTAATTTGGAATTAATATTAAAATAAAATATTTGAATTCTGTTTTTTATTGCCAGTAGCTTCTTGCCCCTACTCATTAAAGCTTCCATTCATTAGTTACATTCCAACAGCTAACGAAAACAAAGGAAACCAATCCCTGCAGACGGAAAACTACCACGCGAAAGTCGTGATGCAAATTTAATCAACACAATTTGGCTGTGCAACACTTTAAAGCATAAAAATTCTCGGCAGGTCAAGCTCGCAACTTAAAGTCCAGATTTTATGACCGGCCGTATCAGTCGTTGCATAATAATTTGGCCTAAACGATCTCATGACGCGGTCATAAAGTGCTTTTTTGCTTTAAAACAACGCACTTTTTAACATTCCCGAGATGGGCGCCCATAAACCACCGTGCACTCATTTCGACCATATGTTTTGTATGGGTATACAGGGCAAACCCAACTTTAAACTAAATTCCAAGGAATACAGATTTTTTGTTTGATGTTTTAGTGTTTTACCTCGTGTAGGCGTCCTATTCATTAAACTGTTCTTTTACTTTTTTACCTATTTGTAGATGTATTTTGAATGGTTTAATGTCTATTTCTTAAAGCTTTCAAATGGAGCACGCTAACGGTAATTTTTTAATTTTTAATTAGTTAACACAACAATTAAAGAAGTTAATTTAATTGTCAATTGGATTTTGTTTGATTTTTCTTGCTTTCTAATAGACATTTAACGCTCTTAATTCTAACAGAATTAGGCCTGGGTAACTCAATGGATTTTTAGAAGTTGGCGCAGTGCTATGCAAATGGCTTGGTGCGCCAACTCAACGCACCGGCGCAGTAACTCAGTTCCGTTGTTGGGAAAAAGTTGATGACTTTTTTTCCTTGTTTCTAGATTTATTTTAAGGGGCATTTATCAATAACATTTTTAACAATTCTTCAAAATTTCAGAATTTTCCTGTTTTAGCAAAGTAACTCTTTTTTCTAAATGCCCAATCTTCTAAAGATTCACTTAAAAATACTGACAATCTTTAGATATTGTTCGGGAAAAATTATGAAATACATTTTATTAGAAGACTCGCCTTCTTTTTTTTGTAGAGTTTTACATAAAAATACTGACGATCTGAAGCGTATTTTACTCGTAAAATTACAAGATAAATCTATGGCTTTGTAGGAATTTTACAAAAACTTTTTTCAGCGTCGAAGTCGAGATAAAAACGAAAATAAACTTCTCCCGTTTTTCCCGCAAATCATTAAGATTTTCTCAAAAACCGATCACGAAACTAAAACTTTGTAAGCAAAAACGCAAACAAACATTATTTTCTGAAGATTTACTTGATTTCTGATAAAAATGCGGTACAACACATAATTGTATTCAGTTTTTTACCGAAAGTAATTAAAATTAGCTTAAATAAACGGACAGAGGAAAAGTTAAAAAAAAAAGTATTTGGAAAATTCGCAACCCTCATCGCTCTGAAGATTTTTCAGGTTTTTATAAAATTTCAGATCTTTCCAGTTTTAGCAAAGTTTCTGATGAGCAATTCTTTCTACGCAAAAAAAAATGTACTGAAATTATAAAATAATCGGCTCCTGAACAGCTTTGTCAATTTGTTCTGGAACCTTTTGCAGCTTAGAATTTTGGACAAAACCTTACAAAAAATTCTAACGTTTTCCCAAAAATATTTTCGCTAACAGAACAAGTTTATAGCCAATTTATTTAAATTCCGGTTTCTTCACTTTTATTCAATATTTCTAACGAAAACTCTCTCTCAACAGAACAACGCGTTTTTTCCTAACGATTTACTGTAAAATGCTGGCAAACTGAGTCATGTATGCAAAAAAGTTAAAAGATGGATTTAACAAGAAAAGTTGCCGTATTCTTTTGGCCGTTTTACCTTTGAATCCGGGACAAAAGCGAAACAAAGTTATCTTGCTTTTTTCGGCAAAATTTAGGTTTTCTCAGAAAACGACCAGAGAAAGCAAAAGCGTATAATAAATATTTGGAACTCATCATCATCGCTCTGAAAAATTTTTAAGTTTCTTCAAAGTCTCCGGATTTTCCCGTTTTGGATCAAATAGTTAAAAGCAATCGTATGCGAAAAAGCAATGTGTTGATGGCTTTTTTTTTGTTAGATGTTAAAATTCCGTGACCGGCCATGAGTTATAACTCCTTAACCAACGAGTTAAAACTCATTAACTCAGAGAGCGGAAACAACTCAAAAGCGCAACTCAACACAGTGTTACTCAGGCCTAAACAAAATAGAAGGATCGTTTAATTTATTTGCTCAGCAATTTTTGTTTCTCGTCAGATTATAGATAATTTTTGCAAAATTCGAGAAATTTCATACCACAGTGTAACACCGCAACTACTTGAAATATACTTTCAATCAACGACCATGTCCTTTTACATTGACGCTTTCTTCGATCATTGTCCCTCTTTCGCGCTGTTAGTTCTGCTAATTTTTCCTTTGTCAATGGTTTTTTTTAACTTACTTTGTATGTAGCTGATGGTTCTATTCGCTGTCCGTTCACTTCCCAGAACAGCTTCATGTTGCCATCATGAACCAGTTTGGCACCAAACGAAGCTATCGCTCCTGTCGTTGCTATGAGAGATGAGGGACTTTTGGTGAACATTCCCATCGGCTGTCTGCTCCGCTTATCTGAAACACCAAATGCCATTAGTCTAAGAGCAAAGAAAAAAAGCGATACATTGACCTCATTTTTGGCTAATTAGATTTGAGAAGTCTCAAATTAGCCAAGGGAAACCCGGACAGGTTTCGTAACCGGCGCCGAGAAAAAATCGCTCAACCTGTGTTCGTTGGAATTAATCGTGACATGTTCCGGTGACTCTTTAAGTAAACACGCATCATTTTACAACAACATTTCGCAATGATCGAGTTAATTTTTTAATCATGAACCGGACATGCGACCCAGATGAGGAATGTTTGAAGGTTCGGTGGCTTAAAATGGTTTTTCAAAGCCCTGTTTTCAGATAGTTTCACTATGATACCCAAAACTAGAGTTGAAACATAGAAGTTTTCTAATATCTGCAGAAAACTTCTATGTAAGTAACAAAGAATTAAAGTCACCCAATTACTTTACAAAAGCTGGAAGAGCATTCCTTAAATTAGCGAATTTTCAGTTATGTGGTTGAATTTTTCCTTTCTGGGTATGAAGTTTTTCGGAAAAATTAATGTAAATTCATCCAAACTCAAAACAGCATTTGAATATTCCGTAATTCGTTAGATAAAATACAGGGTGACTGAAAATTGGCGTCATTCCTCCGGAGGTGTTGTCTAAGTGTGAGCGAGTACAGGAAAAATAGTTTAAAAAATAATTGTTATTAAAAATTGAAAAATTTGCAAAAAACCATATCGAAAAGACGGCAATAATGTTTTTCAAGGTAATCTACCTAATTAACATTACGGAAACTTCTGCTCAATTTGTACCGGTGTTCAGTAATCCATTGGTTTAATGTATCCTTGTGCTGTGTGTACCTTACATACGTGGTAGGAATGGGATACATTCCTACCACGTATGTAAGGTACTTCCTCGGTATTTATTTGGTGCTTGCGAAAGTGTCAGTTATTGTGCTCTGAGTACCCCTGGAAGGCTCTACTGCAATTATGTCCAATACTTGCTCCTCTGTGTCTGGAACCCGAACATCTATTTTCCTCCACTATCTTCCTGGAGACAATCGCTTTGTTGACGTGAGTTCTTACAGCTTCTTCTATTTTACTGTGGCATTTCCGGAGGACTAAACGCATATCCGCAAATACGTGAAAGGAGCTTCAAAGTAAGTCGCAGTTTGAAAAATTATTGACAAAGACTATCTACCTGTGACTATATGTTGATAACAAATTTCATCATCGATTATTGCCGCTTTGACTTTTCATTAAAATATTGTAGAAGAGAACAATGTTTTCATGTCAAAATATTTCGTAATTTGAACCAAAGATAGTAATTGATATTTCTAAATTCTTAAGTATTCCAATATGCTTCTAACTAAGCATGAAACAATTTCAAAATAATGCTTAATAACAAAGTTGAGATTCGATTTTGAACTTTTCTAGAAAATATCAAAATTTTTTAAAAATATTTTTCTCATTACTAAGTGAGCCCCTATTACCCCTTAAAAGTAGTGATGGGCACTATCGAATGAATTGGACTATGGAATAATTACTAAATGAATGATTGCAACTATCGAATAAAACCATTCGAATTAATTAATCCATTGAATAGTGTTCGCCGTCTAGTGCCGTGTAGAAAAGTTACAAATTGGAAACCTATAGTCTTCAAAAAAATTAGATACAATCGTATTTTTAAGAATAATATTGCTGATAATAAGTTTGATTTTTAAATATAGAGATTTTCATTTAATCGAAATTAAAAATTATGTATTAATTAAATTTTTGTGTTATGGATGTATTTTTCTTGTTGTTGTTGTTAACTATTTATATTTATTTTACCTTAATGTTTGCATTTCCTAATTTCCTTGAAATAATATAGTAAAAACTCTACAAATGAGTCGCATTTAAGCCTGTCGCTAATGGTAGGTACTTATTCAAAATGCAAATATAGATATAGCACTTTTTTAATGAATTCATTTTTGATTAAAAAACAGTATTACTAAATGTTTGTCAAATAAAAATATTTAATATATTTGCTTAAAAAGCGAAAAATTAATTTATTTAAAAATTTGAATTTGGCCATTGCAATCGATTTAAAGCTATCTGATTATCCGAAATTAGAAAACAAATGAATAAAACAATGCTATCGAATTTCAAATTACAACTATCGAATAACTCGCTAGTTTTTATTCGATAGTTTCTGTCACTGAATGAAACATCGCTATCGAATAATTCGAATAAATTACAACTATCGAAATTCCTTTGATAGTTTTTATTCGATAGTTCCCATCACTACTTAAAAGGAATGACGCCAATTTTGAATCACCCTGTATAACAGTCTCTATCCACTCTTTCAGTTAAGGCTATCATTGACAACTAAACTTGAGTTTAAGTATTTTTCAGTTTTACAAGCCAGTTTAGGGCCTAAGACATCGAGCTGAGAGCAGTTTTAGCTCTGTCAAAGACATATTTACGATTTTTTAAATATCCATGTGAAAAAAGGCCTGGACGGCAAATGGGACGAATTTTATATGTGTTGGTCAAAAGGGACAAAAACCGTGTAATTTGAACTTAGAAAAGCAAAAAGTAATAATGAAAGAAACTAAACGCTCCATAAGAACGCTGATTAACAACTACTTCTTAGGAGACGACAAATTTCTTCCGATCAGTCCTTCGAGTCGGATACAATGGAAAAAACTTCTTAATGAAGATTGGCGACTATGTAGACGACAAATTTTTAAGTAATGCGACACATTTAACTTAAATTTTGTAAAATGTAAAATCTTCCCCAATACATGAACTTTTCACCCATTGTCTCTCTGTGACTCAAAAGGAGCACAAACATAAAAAGCAAACGAAATAAATTGCGAAACAAATTAATTTCAGGAAATAATTGAGTTTTCAGTTTTTGCCAGTGTTAAAGCTGATATTTGAAAAACCACAATATCTAGTAATTCAAAAGAACTACAAGAGTTTAAAACGTATTAAAGCCCAAACGAAGTCAACGGGGAAACAGTCTTTCCATAAATAATTGCTTTTAAAGGACGGAACTAATCAGAATTTACAATTGGTATTCTTATTGTTGAAAAGACAAAAATGGACCATCCTGTATAATTCTGTAAGCCAGTTAGATTACAAAATGCGGACTTACTTGCAACCGTCAAGTGGCACTTGCTTGAGGCTTCTCCGAACACGTTGTAGGCTTCGCAGGTGTACCTTCCGGAGTCTTCACATTGTGGATTCTCGATCACCAGCCACGCAGTTTTTCCGCTTTTATCGAACCCTTGTCGATACTCTTGGCAGTCTGGAAGCAGACAACCGTCCTTCATCCAGACCAGATCAAGCGGCTCAGAACCTCCCAGGCGAACTTGCAAAGTTGTGTCGGTACCTTCCAGCTCAGTCAGGCGACTGGGAAGTGGCGTTAAAATGTAGGGCTGGATATTTTCAGCTACAAAACATCCAGACTTATTCACGCAAATCTTGGATAGTTTTGATGAATCTTACCTGGTTCGCTGTCATCCTTCAGCACCTCTAAACACATGGAAGTTTGGGCTCTTCCGTTTTCGTTCTCTGCCAAACACGTATAGAGGCCTTGGTCCTGGAAGTCTACGTTCTCAATCTCCAGAGCGGCCACCTCGCCATTGTAGCTACACGAGAACTTTGCCCCTTCCTCAATAGGGACATCGTCCTTATACCTACAGAACATCAATCAGCTGGGCTCTGGCTAAATGTAGATGTACTTGCCATTTCAAGTATGGTGTAGGGACTGCTTTGATGTCGCAAAAGAGTCTGGCACGCGATCCATATCGGGCCGATGCGCTTAGAAAATTGCTCTTTGAATATCCGTTGTAGGCCGGTTTGGGGGACAAACTTCTCGCCCGTATACCGGACGTGCTGTGAATCCGGTGGGCAATCACGTCCAGTCGTGCAGTTGCTTCAACCCGACCAACATCATTTTCCAAAACCACCTTAAAACATTACGCGAATATAATTCCGCTGGACCAAATGTGTGCGTGAAGACACTTACCTTGTATACTGCGGAGTCAGCCGTAGTGATATCCTTGATCTCCAAGGTCCGCAGATCTTCTTTCTCGGTTATACTCAGTCTGCTGGTGGGGATGATTTCTTCGTTGTTCTTGAACCACTTTACCCAAGGATCTGGATGGCCGGCTACGGCGCATTGAAATCTAACTGTTTCACCTTCCTCTGCAATCTGCAACAGTTCCACAGAAATCAGAACTCAGTCCAGGTTTAAAGCCACGAAAGTCGCACCCTATTGTGTGGATACGCGTAAAACTTAGGTGCCAGCGCTCTAACTTGTCTGCGCTTAGTTTCCAGAGTGATGGGCTCACGTCTTCTGGGTGATCCGCTTCGGTTGGGAGTGGTTCTTGGGGTGGATATTGGAGTGGCGCCTCCAGCAAATAAACTTGGAGGCCTCTTGAGTTGGGCGTTCAATAAGTTTTCTTTTTCTTCCGGCACTGTACGAACAAAACGGAAGCAAACTAGTGTTGTAATTCCAAACAGAGAACATCGGAGGGTTGAGGGCATTTTATGAACTAAAACTTCCGGGTGATTTGAAATTGGCGTCACTCCTCTGGGCGTGTTGTCCAGATGTATTTAGAGAGTAGCAGCACAAATAATTCCGGTCAAAACTGGGATATTGCTTTATATGTAAATCAGCAATGGCAACACAAGATTTGATAAAAAAAACAGGATCATTTTACGCATGGAACTATAAATACGTCAATCTAATCCGTTGAGAAGAATTTACGGTTTCCAAACGTATTTGTTCTATTGATAGATGAGTTTTATCATAGAACTGTTCAGTTAATCACAGAACCGCTCAATTTCACTTCATAACGTAACTTCACAACATCAATTTTCATTGTTTGCAGGAAAATTTCGATCTTTTGTGGCATAAAGTGATTTTTGACCCGTTAGGTGAGTGTTTCCTGTTTCGTGTTTCTTCTATCATTTCACTTTCACTTTTGCAAAAGAATTAGTTTAATTTCAATCAAGAACCACACTCTATGGGTTTCAAGGCTTTTATGCAGAAAATTGGGCTCCAAAACAGTAAACTAACAACAACGCGATAGTGCTGACATGTTTGCCAACAAAGATCTGCATGATTGCTGTTGTGATTTTTAATTAAAAATTAAAGATTCGTAATATTTCCTTAAGTTTAAGCAAGTTTTTGTACCTAAATCTCTCTCTAAGCTTAAGTCTTCTCAAGGAAGCTAATCTTGATGCATGTTCGACATTGTTATGCCTTTTAACTCTTGAGGTGCACAATATAAGATCTAATCACAAATACAACAAAACATAAATTTTGCCTCAATGAAAACTTGTTCGTACTTTTCAAATAAGCTCATAAAAGGTCCGATTTTAAATCTCCCTGTTTATATTCTTAAGTGTTAACATTATCTGTTCAATTGGCGAGTTTGAGACTGAATCAGGCCTATTTTCTCTTTCTAAAAGTTAGAAAAGTTTCCCCCTTCATCCATATCTTTATCTAGGCGGTTTAAAGTTCTAAAAAGTGTTCATGTTGTTCATATTCATGTTTCGGTAGAGTGTGATATCGCCCAAGATACACTATGAGCCTATAATTATATGATCACTTATGATGGTGGTCATAAGGTCATGCAGGGTGGTTTTTTAGTGCGATAGAGTCCATTATTTGCGATGGTGTTGAACTTTTGAAAAATAGTTTCATATAAAAGTTGTTGATGCATAAAGCGCGCACATTTTAAAAATATCTTATATGATACAGAGTGTCTCAGAAAAGCGAGGCATGATGAAAGTGTATTTTTTATAATTAGAATTACCCATTTCCCTCATTAGCTCATGAAATGCAGCTTGAAACGCTGCATATGCAACGTACATTTGTTTTTTTCTTACTTGCAACGTTGGTAGATTATCGCCATTATAGTAAAATTTTGCTTAAAAACATGGTATCATAGTTAGAGATACAAAAAATACGTCTTCCCAATAGCCACAGATCCGTTAAGAATTCTATTGAATCAAAATATCAAACATTATACAGGGTGTTAACAATTTGAACTTCAATCTAAAACTTTTTAACCTAATATATCTTTTGTTTTTCAAATGGAACCATCTGTATATTAAAACGTCATTAGATAGACAATTTACAAAGTTACAACTTTGCATTTACACTTTAAGCTGCGAAAGCAACCGTTTTCAAATTATAAATTATTTTATTTAAAAATTTAAAAAAGTTGTAACATTTTGTAAGGTGGCTATGGAATTCAATAAATAAGTGCATTCCATGAGCTAATGAAAAATGGATAGTTCTATTTAAAAAAATAAACTTTGATCTTGCCTCGCTTTTCTGAGACACTCTGTATCATATAAGATATTTTTAGAATGTGCGCACTTTATGCGTCAACAACTTTTATATGAAACTATTTTACGAAAATTCAACACCATTGGAAATAATGGACTCTATCGCACTAAAAAACCACCCTGTATAGCATTTTGAGCATTTTATTGGCAGCGCATTCGACGCCAAAAAATCAGTCTAAAGCTTGTTGTAAATTGTAAGTTGTTGAAAATTTTTTGGTCGGTAAAATGAAAGTTTGTTGTAAACGGTTGATTCACGATCAGACATAAAATTGGCGCAGTCGGTAGAATCCTTTCAGCGCGGTTGCCGTTTTCAAGGTTTTCCTCGAAAATTGATCACCATTTAAGATCTTCCTGAACGCTTCCGATTTCAGCAAGTTTTCCGCGAATTCGCAAGTGCAAAGAACTTTTGTATTAAACCAGGTAGTTTCTGTTAAAATCCTGTACAATATTTTTAAGCTGTTCAAAACTGTTACTCACAATCCACTATTAAGCAGGCTGAGGTGACGGCTTTTCCCAATTGATTGAAAGCTATGCATGAGTACTCTCCTTCGTCCTCAGGATACACTTCAGCTATGCTCAATTTGGCTCTTTCGCCATCAAAGTCAGCACTGAAATCGCCGCTCAGTCGCACAATCTGCAATGAGTTGAATTTAAAATTTCGCAATTGTTTTTAATCAACCCTTTACCTTTCCATCCTTCTCCCATCTGATATCCAATGGGGGTTTGTTTGGGGCAAACCGGCACTCCAGTGAAGCCGAGTCGCCGTCGCAACATCTGATATCCCGCAGATCTTCGACGATTGATGGAAGTTTTTGGAGATCGCTAAGAATACTGAATAAGCAAGGTGGGAAAAAACGGGGCGAACTATTGCTTACCTGGTTTTATTCTTATTGCGTTCCATCGTAATGGGATCTGTGGAAAAATGGAATGTTTTCAGATTTACCAAAAAAATTTGATTGTTGTTTGAAATAATCAATGAAAAATTTGATGGAAGGTTAACCAGATGTAATTATTGCAAATTTCATCTTCTCCATGTACCTTTAACTTTAATTTGGAGCGAAATTATAGCCTTAGTATCCCCATGCACGTTTTTGGCGTACACAGTGTAGGTTCCGGTGAAGTCCAACTTCACATTGGGAATTTCCAGGCGATATTCCGGGCCGCTGCCTATTCTATGAAAGTGGGCTGCATCCTTGTAGTAATCGGGCTAGAAGAGAAAGGACCACTAGTCAAAGTTATTTATTTAATAACCAGCTTCTTTTGGTTAAAATGCGCTTTTATGGCGCACGCACTAAATGTATTTTATTTCGTACCCGCTGGTTTATTCAATAGTTTTCCATTGGACTTTCACGGTTTACCAGCGCATACATGGAACAAATTTATCACGGAATCGGTGAAAAATATTTAAAACGAATCAGTCAAGTGAACCTGTCGCGTTTGATTACAATAAATTCGCGTTTTGTGCCAACTAGACCATATCGGAACATACAACTAATTAGCCCGATCCATTAGTTTAAACTGTTTTAGAGCACAGCGATTATTTATTTATTTTCAATTCTTTTTGATTGATTTGCACAGCTTCGATATATTACACTTGTTCATGTTGGAGAACGCAAAATTTGAAAATATTTTCCAACTTAAGCAGATCATGCCATAAAATTGAGTGTGCACTTTCAAAGTATCAGCAAATTATGCATGAATCTTCACCACAAGGCCAATCATATAATAAATAGTAATTTCAACAAAATTAAATCATGTCAGTGGATTTTTATACTGTATTTTCCTTCTTTTGTCCATGTAGAAACCAAACGACTTTCCACCTTCTTGTACTTAACGGGGGGTCTGAAAAACTCATCTATCAAGCAAAAATAGACAGCAATGTATTTTAATTTATTTATTTAAGAAATGGCATTTTTATCTTACTATTGCATTAAGTCAACGATGCGCTACAACTACTAATGATGGTTCGGCGAAGCAAAACGTTCAAGTTAATTAACGCATGATGTATGACGCGACCTCCCAAAACAAGATTTGAGCACATTTATCACGGGCAGTAAAGCCGGCATGCATTTAGGAACGTAGTTTATGGGATTATTTTTCGGTTGTAAATTACAAAAAAAAAACCAGTCCGATGCAAAACGGATCCTGTCAAAAGATTTACGCTCCGAACACAATCAGGTGCACAATGGCAAATTAGTTTTTAATTTATTGTGCTCTGTACACTTATTTATTGCACACTTGTACAATACGGTAAAACGGAATTTTTATTTAACCATTGTGGGACGGTTTAGGTGCCATAAAACTGTGGCCAATTGACCACCTAGTGGTCGCGTACTTCGGCTTGATTTGTGAATAATCGTAGCAATACTTCTGTGATTTCTAGATTTGCAATTCTTTGCAATCCTCAATTTATTTGCTGTGTTTTTAGTGTCACGGTTGCGTGTCGATAAAGCACCTGAACAGAAAATGGCCATGCCGAGAACAGAGTTGTTTCTAGAATCAGAGTAGCAGCGGATGCAATTTTTCTAAAGCGCAAACACAATGTTTTAACGTGTACTCGTTTATAGTTCAAAAGTAATCGTAATAATACAACAATGCTTTCTCTGCTATTTATGACTTTCTTAGTAATTAATCGGGGAAAAATTGTTAAAATTGTGTTAATTTTTCAACAATAGTCGTTCATTTTGCACATTTTTGCTTCAGGCTCATAAAATCTGCATGTGCCACCGAATTAACTATGAAGTGTCTCAATCCGACTAATGAATTTCCTGTCTTACGACTGGAAATTTAAGTGTTGGTTTTTTAGGGAATTAGAGAATTTTAAGCCACAATGAGATTTAGCATTCATTTACATTATAAAAGTGTAGCGCGTCTTCCATTTTCAACACTTTTATATTGTTAGTGCTATCAAAACGTAAAGAGCTTGTTTAGGTCAAGCTTAGAAAATTTTTGCTCGCTTAATTCTCTTAGTTAAAATGGATGCAAAAAGTGGTTTATGCAAAAGTTTCTTTATAATAACGGTTAAATAATCTGCAACTGCAACTTTTAACACTATTTTTTACATTTATAACCGTTGAATAGGAACACATGGTCCTAAAGTGGCCATCACAATTACCGGATCTAACACATTCAGATTTTTTTCTATGGGGGAAATAAAATTTGTAAAGAAGGCATTTTAAACCGAGAACAACTTGATCAAAAAACTCATGATGCCCTTGCAGAAATAAAACCCTTACGCATCAGGAATGCCTTAAAATCCGGTCGAAAAAGATGTAAAAAAAATTGAGAGGTTTTCGAACATTTGCCATGATTTCAGTTAATTTAATCCTTTTTTATAGTTTTTTAATTTACTTTCTTGTGGCAGCTATTTCTTCTACTCCTCTATTAAAATATATTGTGTAATTTTGCAGCTTAAAAGTGATAAAGTTTAAATAGATCGCTTAGGAAACTAGCTTATAACTCTCCGTAGCGTGTTAGAATAAAAAAATACAGGGTGTCTCATTTAAAAAACTTGCTTTGCTCCGATATCTTTCTTTGATCTGATCCAGTATACTTATTCTGAAAACGGCAGATTATTCACCAATCACTACAAAGAAACATTTGCATAAAATATTTTTTAAGAAAATTTTTTAAAGAAAATATAGGGTAATTTTGAAATTGACAATTTTTCTCTTTTCCCCTGTATCTCTTAAACGAGCGAAGCTTTTCAATTTTTTATTTTATCATTTTTAGGCTGGCCAAAAAATAGTACGTTATAGGGCAAAACAGGGCTAAACAACTTTCTTGATAGTAGGGTCTTCAAATTTCAGATATTTCCAGTTTTAGCCAAGTAACTCTTTCTTATTTTCTATAGTTTCCTTTAAAAATGCTGACAATCTTAAGGTAATTTCCGCGAAAAACTAGGAAATAAATTTCGAATCTTTTGTCGCTTCGTAAAAAGTTTTGAAATCCCTTTCCAGCCTCGAGTTCGGAACAAAAATCAAACAATTTTCTAGCAAAAAAACGAACAGGATAAGCGAAAGTTTAGAACAGATTATTTGGAAAATTCGTAACCTCCATTCCTCTGAAGACTGCAGAATTTGTTAAAAAATGTGGTTCTTAATTTTTTTTGCTTTACTTTCTACTCAAAAACGCTCTATTTTGTAGTTTCGCTTAAAAATGTTGATGATCTGGAGGACTTTTACGCGAAAAATAACAAGATAAAGTTATAGCTTTGTAAACATTTTACGAAAACTGTTTTAAGTGTCGACTTCAGGACAAAAACGAAAATAAATTCCTACCGTTTTTTTCCCGAAAACCATTAAGGTTTTCGCCAGAACCGATCACAAAACTAAAAGTTTTTAATCGAAAACGCCAAAAAGCATTATTTTATGATGGTTATCTTCTTTTTGGCAATAATGAGGTGTTTAAAAAAATAATAATTTTCGTAGAAAATTCGCATCGGTTTGCAGGGAGCGTTAGAAAACCCATTTCAGCTTCGAATTTGGCACAAAACCAAACAATTTTATTCAGTTTTTTACCGAACGTAATTAGGACTATCTTGAAAAAACGACCAAACGATAGCAAAAGTTTACAAAAAATTATTGGGCAAATTCGCCGCCCTTATCAACCGCTCTGAAGATTTCTAAAGATCCTTTAAATTTTCGGGTTATTCCAGTTTTAGCAGTTTCTATTAAGCAATTCCTTGTACGCAAAAATCGTATTATTTTTCAGTTTTACTTAAAATACTGGCAAAATTCAGGTATTTTCTGTGAAAAATTACAAGATAAATTTTGGAACATTCGCCTCCTTAACCGCTGTGCAAAAATGTTTGGAAATTTTTTGCAGCTTCGAATTATGGACAAAACCCTAATAATTATTTTTAGGTCTTTTTCCAAAAATATTTCCGCGATCTGAAAAAGCGAAAGTTTATAATTTATTTGGAAAACCCTTGGAATCTGGAGTTTCTTCGCTTTTAGGTCAATATTTTTAAACAACACAGTCTCTAAACAGAAAAAGTGCGTTTTTCCTAACGTTTTATTGCAAAATACTGGCAAACTGAATCTTTTATACAAAAAAATTAAGAGATTGTAAACAATTAATACGGTTATAATTTTCTTTTTTTTAGAATTAGGAAGTTTAAGGATATAATTTTTTTAAAATCACAAATACTAGCGAATAATAGAAACCAACAGTTGGCTGTAATAACAGTTTTAATACACACGATGTAATAACAGTGGAATATGATTAAAAATATCATCAAATTCTGAAGATTTCTCTTTGAAGAAGCGTACTCTTTGTTAAAATCAACAAAATTATCTTGACCATTAAAGATAGTAAATAATAGAGTGCAAAGAAATGAACAGCAAAAAATAAATAAATGCGAATATCTTAAGAAAAAAAGAACTCAGCAAACCGTTTTTCTAAAAAAAGAACAAATTTATAACTGAAAGTTTACGCCACGTATGGTATTAGTAAACAAAAAATAACACAAATAGAAATATCTCTCATCTACTTTTTAAGTTTAATTAAAGATTAAACTTGTGCAAATTGAATCTGCATGCATTTTATGTAAAGGTGAAACCAATATTTTTGCCAGTCGCCATTTTCCCGCTTCACGATTGTAAGTAAAAGATAAAGTTGGACGGTTGAGACATGCTAATAATTTCATATAAAACTGCTTTGTTGACATTTTTTTAAATGGTTAAAAGTTGATTGAGCGCATATAAACGGTTCTAAAAGCGCAATCAGTTAACCGAATCTATTAGAAACTTCTAATGTCTACTTTCATCCAAGTGCCTGGCTATAGTCACAGTACTTAACCAATTTGAATAAATCAGTCAATTAAATCGCCTTTTGTAAAGGTCACTGGAATGTCGTTTTCGCAAAAAAAGTTCCTAATTGTAACATGGGCAAAAATGGCTTAAATTAAGTCGATCATTTGCGTTAATCCGAAAAGTATGCCGTTCTAAAAATAACCACATGCTTGCCTACGCATACAACTACTCAGCCCACATGATTGTTTATCAAGACATGGAATTTTGAAGTGTCTGTTTTACATATTGCGGATTACCATCGTCCAGCCTTGGATGGCATCGGAATTGGAGCAGTCAGCGAATCTTGAAGAAAACACTCTCAGCTTAGGCGTTCATTACCAATTCAAGCAGAGATGTTTAAAAAGTTCTGCAGTTGAATTTACGCTTTGAATTGCGAAAACGCGTCCGAACA